CTATCTTTAGGTACAACTGTATTATCTTTGGTGAATCTAATCAAAACTAATTTGTTCAAAGATCGCAAGTTTGCTTTGTATGTTTCATTCTTAAAAATCTCATTATTGATATCAGGTAAAAAAATATTTTTTTTCAAGTAAGTATCTAAAATTTTTGGATCCTTATAATATTGAGCTTGGATAATGTGAGTACGAACATAATTTGAATAAACTCCACGACGTGCAATAGTTCTCATTAATTGACATAATCCATCACCCGTTTCACAGCCTGGCAAATCTGCTATACCAGAATGTTGAGATCCAAATGTAATTAAATTGTGTACCGGGGGATCATTACATCGTTGTACGTACGCGCTAAACCAGAGGAAAAGCATTAAATGTTTTATTTCGCGTAAGTTTTTAAAATTAAAATGTTAAATTATGTGTGAACTTTTACCGAAGGAACTGGCCTCCCTACATCGAAAAGAATTATTAATCAAAAAAATGATATTATTAGACGACTTTTCTTCAAGTTTAGAATATCCATACTTTACCTGAGAGAATCCGATAGCGTCAAATCCATTTTTTAAATTTTCATCAATTTTCAAAAGACCACAAACTTCTATCAACTAACCATCGCAAAAAAAGGAAGGAATAGAAGAAAAGTAAATAAAAAAAAATAAAACAAAAATATCTCGATTAATATTTTTAAAGCAAATTATCGAAATTAGATTTCGTACCTGATCATTAACATTACCAAAAAAACTAAACTTTTTATCTTCACGAACATTATCACCCAACATGATAGAATATGTATATATACCAGGTAATGCATCTTTAATTACTTGTTGAACTTTACCCATACTTTCTTCATCACAACAATTATCACCCATTCCATGCCATAACACAACGGGTCTATAGGTTCCTAATTGGTAATTGTAGTGTGTATATTACTTTTTTTCTTTTAATAATACCATTAATTTTATAAATGAAATGATCAAAAACGGAATAAATTATTCTAAAAATTACCTTGTACATGATAAGCAAAAAAAGTTAAGAAAAATAATGCCGTTAAAAAATTCATTTTTTTTTTGGGTAAAAAATCTTTAAACTTAAAATTAGATAACGTGAAATAATAAACGTCCATGTTGTTGTAATACCCTATATCTGCATATTGTTTACCAAATTTACTTATTTCATACAAGTATGAAATTTAGCGTCAACCATATACAGTTTCAGATGTGATTTTCGGAGGAATTCAATTATTTACGCCTCCTCTTTTGTTTTTGCCAAGGTTTCAAATTCGTAATACAAACATAATCCTTAATTTATCTGAATCTTTGATTTACATTAAATTTCCTTTAAAATTATTTTTAAAATGGATTAGTTCCAAATGAGGCGAAATAATATAAAACGTCCATTTTTTATTAAAATAAAAAAAAAATTTCATATTTCTTTTTCCCCAAATTTTTTTTGTTAAAAGAAATTACTCCCTTTCGAAAATTTAAGGTAAAAATGATCAGAAGGGATTCGATTGGATTTAATTCTGAAACGACTATAACAGCACATTCAACATTAACTTCTTCTTCAATAGCAACAATAAATATAGAAAATGATATACTTCATTTTAACGGCAAACATATAAAAGATAGTTCAGATAGAACAATATTATTAAGGGGAATAAATTTGTCGGGTGCTTCAAAAAATCCTTCATATCCCTCAAAAATTCCTTCACATCAACGAAATGATTTTTATAATCACAGAGAAGTCAGTTTCATAGGGAGACCCTTTCCATTAGAAAAAGCTGACAATCATTTCCAACGACTAAAACAATGGGGGTTTAATTTCCTTAGATTCATTATAACATGGGAAGCAATTGAACATGAAGGACCTGGTAAATATGATTTCGAATTTTTTGATTATATTATAAAAATTCTACATAAAGCCAAAGGATACGGGTTTAAATGTTTCATTGATCCTCACCAAGACGTGGTTAGTTTTTTCTTCTTTTTTTTTTTTTTTTTAGGGAAGAAATTTTGAAAATTAATTCTTATGATTTCACTTACTTACAGTACTTTTTTTTTCTTCCTTTCATAAGTGGAGCAGATTTTCTGGTGGATCAGGAGCCCCAGGATGGACGCTTGAATTGGCAGGACTCAACATGAAAAATTTTTCAGAAACAGAAGCAGCAATAGTACATAATACGTTTGATAAACCAAAGGAATTTCCTAAAATGATCTGGTCAACAAATTATTATAAATTAGCCGCGTCAACAATGTTTACATTATTTTACGCGGGAAGCATATTTGCACCAAAATGTATAGTTGATAATATGAACATACAAGAATATTTGCAAATGCATTTCTGTAATTCATATAAGGCATTAGCGGAAAGAATAATGGAAGAAAAATTGGCGGATAAAGTTGTAGTTGGATATGATACAATGAACGAACCAAGTTGGGGATGGGTCGGAACAAAGGATTTAAATAAACTTCCAGAATTTCAAGAATATAAAAGAGAAAGAACTCCGACACCATTTCAGACAATGTTAATGGGAGAAGGAATTCCATGTAAGGTAGAATTATGGAACATACGTTGGTATGGATTTGGTAAAACAGGAGTCGAATTTATTGATCCAAAAGGAAAGACGGCTTGGTTAAAAACGGATCCTGAAGGATATAATTGGAAGAAATCCGAGGAATTTCCACGAGGTGAATGCATATGGGCAGCACACGGAGTATGGGATAAATCCACCAAAAAACTTTTACGTCCCGATTATTTTGCTATAAATCCAAAAACGAATCAACCACCAAATTGGGATGAAGATTGTTTTAAACCATTTGTTAGAAAATACACTTCCGCCTTACGTTCGGTTCAACCTAATGCTATAATATTTGTACAACCACCAGTGCTCGAGGTTCCGCCTAAATTTGATGATTTAGAAGACCCACGAGAAAGATTAATTTATGCACCACATTGGTATGATGGATTAACTTTAGTACAAAAACAATTTAATTGGTGGAACATTGACTACTTGGGCATTAAAAGAGGTTTATATTTTGGTTACTTGCCCGCGATTAAAATAGGAGAGGTTGCTATTAAGCAAAGTTTTGCCGAACAGTTAAAATTAATTAAAAGTGAAGGGGAAAAACAATTAAATAATATACCATGTTTAATTGGTGAAATCGGTATACCTTTCGATATGGAAGAAGGAAAAGCTTACAAAACGGGAAATTATGTTCAACAAATTAAAGCTATGGATGCCAATTTTACCGCTTTAGAAGCCAATTTACTCTCTTATACTTTGTGGAATTATTGTGATGATAATAATCATCAATGGGGAGATCAATGGAATGGGGAAGATTTATCAATTTATACATCTGATACAACTGAGCCTTTTACAACAAAAAATTATAATAAGTATTTGGATCTCGGTGGTAGAACGTTATTTAGTTTACTTCGTCCATTTCCATTGAAAACATATGGTGAACCATTGAGTTTAAAATTTGATCCATGGACGAAAAAATTTTTTTATTCATATCGTAACGTGTATGATGATCCACCAAAAGAATTTCCTACCGAAATCTATTTACCAAAATATCATTTTGATAATGAGAATGACTTTATGGTTAAAGTTAGTAGTGGTAAATGGAGTTGGGACAAAGATAATCAACGAATATTATATTGGCATGACGTTGCTGCTTCGAGTGAAGGAGTTTTTGAGAAGGAAATGGGGTCTCTTGATTATGGTGTACATCAAATTTATATAGAAGGTAACATCAATAATTTTGAAGATGATGAAAATGTTTGCTGTTAATACCTTTTAATTTCAATAAGGAGGGGAAAAAGAAAAGCTTGGAACAAATATTTATTAAAAGAAATCCTTGTTAGGAAGTATTCTTGTAATATTTTAAATATTTTGTATCTAATCACAATTTTTTCTTTTTGGCTCTTATATAATAGGTAAAAGGAATTTATTATTTATAGAAAATGTTGATTTTAATAAGGATGAAGATGCTTCATTACTGAATATATCATCCATGGTCAATAAGAGTAGGATATTTGGAAGTGTATGTATTTTTGTCGTTTTGATTTTATCTATTTTCTTTAACTTTCATGATATCTTTGAATACATGTAATATTAAAAAAGGACAAGATATTTATTTTGTATATTATAAACTTTTTTTTTGAGAGATATATTTTATATTTAATAAAAGCAATGAATAACTAATAATAAAAGCATGAATAACAAAATAAAAATTTTTTTGATTAATTTCGTTTTTTATAATTTAAATTGCAAACACTCGATGATTTCTCTTTAAATAAATTCAAGTTACTGCGCATAATCGAAATTCTCGAAAAATATTTTTTTTTGCTGTATAAGAACTCTAAGGAATTAATTAGACCAGAACGTGAATTTTGTGATTTTCTAGTCAAAAAAGATAAGATAATATGGTGTAGATTCCAAAACCAGTATGGCGTATGTTTTTATGGTGCATCCATAAATACTTTCACCATAAATTACCATATATACATACAAAATTCACCATGCGATATAGTTTTTGATTTTTTTGGTGACGTTATAAATAAATTAAATAAATTAAAGTATTGATATTTCTAAAAATGTATAACTATACAAAAAATAGCTCCTCATATTTTAGCAAATTAAATGGTAACAAATTAATTTTGTCGGAAATATGTTCCCTATTGATTTTCGTGGTACATATGACCATTAGATATTTTTATCGTATTAATAATACTAAAATAAATATTACAATATCAGAAAAAATACATTTTATTGATTAAAGGTATTTCTGGTTTTGCAAAACTAGAACAAGATATTTCCTTTTTTTGAGCACAAAGAGTGAAATGAATTATTGAGATATTCTCCCACCATTCAATAATCATTTTTAAGAATAATGTTTCCTTTTTTGTTCATAGATCATTTTGGCTATAAATGCATACGGTAATATGATAAGAGAAATTAAATAAAAAATAAAATAAAAATAAATTTCTTCACCATGAATTCCTTAGATTCCTTAAAACAGAAAATCGAAATTCTAAACCAATTTGATGATCACCAAAAGGAGGAAAAAGGTTCGATCCTTAAGGAAATTGATGAATTTCTTGGGACAATTACGGTGCCTATGGACATAAGAGAAAAACGTTCCAAGGATTTGCAACTTCCTTCTTCTGTAGAACGTTTGGAACCGAAAACTGAAGAAGAAATTCAAAATATCATACAAGATGCATACAATGATAAAGAGCCAACCATCGTTCGAGTCATTGGAGCTGCACATTCTTTACCTTCGGCGATTTTAACCGCAAAAGATATCCCAAAAAACACGAAAGTAAAATTAATCTCCCTAACCAAATTCCGAGGTGTGGTAATAAATGATGCAGAACAAATCGCCATTGCTTTAGCCGGTACTAATCTTGGACAAGATCCTGAAAATGAAGACTCGACCATCGAGAATGGTTTACTTTACCAATTAAATCAGCGCGGTTATTCGTTACCAAACACCGGTGGCGTTATTCATCAAACTGTCGGTGGTTTCCTTTCAACGGGTTCATCAGGCGGTACATTGATTCATAGCCTTTTCGAGGCTGTCATTGGTATACGAATCATTGACGGTACCGGTAAAATTCACGACCTCAAAATCTCGGATACTGACAATTCTAAGTTCTTGGCTGCCGGTGTTTCAATGGGTCTCCTGGGAATAATTACAAAAGTTACCTTCAAGTTGGGTAAAAAATTCTTCATTACTGGTACTCAGACGATATCACCAATCAAGCCTTTATCGCGGGACATTAATGTCGGTTCTCCGATTGATATCTTTGGGGATGGTGATAAAGATCAAGATATTCCGAGCCTTTTTGATTACTTGTCAAATAGCATGGATTATGATGCCGAATTCGGTCGAATCCTCTGGTGGCCTCAGGATGGTGTCGATCGTTTAACTATTTGGAAGGCGAAAAAGACTCAAAAGTTAGATGGGACGGATTTGCCGGTTAACCCTTACGAATTATTTCCAGAGGTATTCAATAGCCAGGTTCCGGCACAATTGGCTGTCAGCCTGATTCTTAAATTATTGAATATCGTCCGATCTCCAAACAAGGTGTTTAAAAAGATTGCAACATTCCTGTATGGTGCCTTTAACCCGATCGGAATCCAAAGTTTTCAGGATTATTGGTGGAGAGGTTTACCTATGGATGATAAACTTGACATTAAAATTTTACCAGTCGCTTTTTCAGAGTTATGGTTTCCGCTTGACAAAATCAAGGTGATCATGAATGAACTGCAACAACTTTTCAAGAATAATCCTGAATCCATTGGGAACTTGTTTGTAGAAATTTATACCGCAAAGAAAAGCTCATTCTGGCTTAACCCAGGTTATGAAACAAATTCGGTACGCATTGGACTTAATTATAATCTTGGAGATCCATGCGGAACTCCAGAAGCGCATTTTAATCACTATTGGAAAGCTCTGAAGCATCACACTTTCCGTTGCCATTGGGGCAAGTATATGCCTAAATATTATAGCAAGCGGATCCCATCACTATACCCAAAACTCAAGGATTGGATGGATATCAGAGAAGAGTTTGATCCTAAACAAATCTTTGTCACACTTTATTGGAGAAAGCTTTTTAACATCAAACCAGGGCCGAAGAATTTTCGTTGTGATATAATATAATTTAATTTTTATGATAAAATGATATTTTGTTATTTATTTTTAGTTTTTTTTTTGCGATATTAAGTGATAAAATTAATTTAAATTTGTGATAATTTGTGATCATTAAAAAATTTTTCAAATAAAAAAATGATTTTGGTCAATAAATGTTAAAAAAGCATCAATATAAAATTCATTATTTATTGATAACTATAAAATTCAAATTAAAATGCATCATATTTAAAGCGTTTAAAAATTCTAATGTATAGTAAAAAGAAAAGCTTCTTTTTTGAAATTGATAATCTAATGCAATTAGATAAAAATGATAATTGATTTGCCATTTCCACTATATATCTAAAAAATAAAAATAAACAGGATCAAAAGTTTGAAGAAAAGTTATTATGGCAATTGTTTTATAAGTTTAAATGACAATATCTCACATTATTTAAATATAGCTTGGTAACTAAAATTAATATTATTTTTTTGTTATATAATGTTATGATCTAAATGCAAAAAAATTTATAAATTATATATATATAAAAAAAACCTTTCATTTACTGAATTATAGAATAAGAATTTATTATAAGCCAACCAAATATGACATTTTATAATTTGCATTACTTAGGTTCTTTATAGAATATTATTTTTTTAAATTATTTATCTATTTTCAATTATTACTTAAAGAAATATAAATATAGGAAATTTACAAAAAAAAAAATTTATATTTTTTTATACTTTTTATGTATAGAAATTAAATAATATTATAAAGTACAAGTCTAAGTATTAAATATATAATTATAATTATATATGCTAATCAGAATACTTATTTAAAATTATAATTAATATATCTAAAGATAACACCTTACTAATCATAACCCACAATGTACAACTTTATATTTTTATATAGGTTACAACTGAATTATTTTGAAAACAGATTAAGAAACCATCTTTAGATACATCACATGCATAATTATAAATTACTATTAAAAATAATATTTGTATTTTAAAATTAAAAAAAAATTTCTAATTATTTTTTTAAAATTATAAACTCTAAGAAATTTTCTTAAAAAATAGAAAAAAAATTCTTATTTTATTTCAAGAGTTTAAGAATCCTTTTTTTTAAAAAAAAGAAATTAAAACAATAAATTTTCTTCTAAAATACAATTCAATGATTATTTGTTAAATATTAAATTTTTAAAACTTATAATTCAAATTTAAACTAATAACAAAATTTGTTGTTTTCATAAAAGTCTAAAGTTTTTTTAATACTTTTTCATTATAAATAAACAGATCAGATCCTTAATTTGTTAAATTAGCATCTAGATGAAAAGTACACATAACAGAATAAATAATTTCATAGTAATTAAACTTAAATATTAATTGAGTAATATTAAAATATTTAAAATATATTATACATAATTTCATGAGAAAAATTCAAAAATTATTACTTTATATTTGCTATTATATTAGATAAATGAAATATGATTAAGAATTAATTGATAATAATCACTATAATCATTATTACAGAGAAAATCTGTATAGAAAAGCTTAATCTTTTAATTTATTTAGCATCTATAAAAGATAAAAATAAGGTAAGTTTATTTATTTTTCTTATTATCTTTAGCTTTCTTTTTAATAATCACTTAATTCCATTTTTAAATTGTTTGATTTCCCTAACATTTACATAAAATAAGTTTTTAATAATTAATTAAATTTTTTTTACTTTTCTAATTCTCTTCTATATTAGATTTTTATTATAGCTAATCAAACTTATTGTCTAAAAGATAACCTATGAAGTAGACAAGAGAATTAGTTAGAAATTCTTCTCAAAGAAATAGATTAGAAGATATTAGTGTATAATTATGATTTTATAAGATCATTAGACATAAAAGAGAGATAACACTATTAGGTTATAAAGAAAAATTACTTTTTTTAAAAATTGAATTTAGATTTTATGTTAACTTTTAATTATATGGGAAGTTTGCTAGAAAATAGGGTTCTGAGCATTTTTTATTAAAATTTTAATTTTTATTGCATTTTAATTTTTGATAATGTTAGATTAAAATGCAATAAAAATTAAAATTTTAATAAAAAATGCTCAGAGCCATTTTCCTAGCAAACATCCCATATATTTGAACATATATTAAGTATTATTTACTTAAATAATAGACTTCTTTAAATGCTATATCAACTTTCAACAATCCTCACTATTATCTATGAGGATTTTTTGGTTAATTCAAGATCTATATCACTAATTTTAGGAGATTATAGGATCATATATGTTATATTGTTATCAAAATAATATGCAGTTGAATATTATTGATTACAGTAATTGATTCTGATTAAATCAAATATATCTTTATTATTTACAAATTTGACTTTAGTTTTAATACTTACTGAAAAGGCTGAGACTAAATATATATTATAGTTTCAATCACAAATAATCAAATGTTTCTCAAAAGAAAAATCAGGATTTTGAACTTAACGCATTTTATGCAGATCTTGAAACTTTTGAACAACTAATTAAACCTATTCAATCTAAAGGTAAGATAAAGTACAATTTTATTATTTATTTTAATTTATTTATTTTCTCTTAAATTTTATTTTTATTATATATTTTGTTTTATTTAGAAAAAGTAGTATTTACAAAGTCAATATCTGAAGTTGACTTTCAAGACGTTGTTAGTGATAGTCTAGTTATATTGTATTAGTATTATGTCATTTACAATTAGCAAATAATGATTCTAATGATCACAGATCTTAACTTTCTCTATTTTTTCTAATTTCTATTATTTCTCTAACTTTTCTTATTTCTATAATATCTTAGCGATCTCTAATTTTTCACATTTCTCTAATATATTTTTCAATTTTTTTATATTTATTATATTTTTTATATTTTTCTAATATCTATCTACTATTGATATATTTTATATAAAAATCTTGTATTTCTACTTTGATAAAAAAGCAAAGTCATTACAATTCTTTAATAAATCAATAGCAATTATCTCTAAAACTTACTTTTGCTCGTTAAATAATTTATTCTTCCTTAAATCTATATTGATAAAGACATCTAACCCTTCAATTTAATTATTTGTATTTATTTCTTTCATAGTTTATATGTAATTAAACTTCTTGCTAATAAATAATCTTTATTAACTTAATGACAAACAGTTTAAGCTTAACAATTTTTAAATCTAATAATAAAATTATAAATAAATAATCATTTGCAGATAATGATTTTACTCTTTATAGAAATTTGTTCTTTACAAGAATCTATAAATCACAAGCAGCAAATACCTTTACAACAAAACTCATCAATTTAATTTAAGTATCTCAAATAATTCTTATTCATTAAAAATGTTAGTTCATAACTAAGTATAATATAAGCATTATTAACCTTAACAGTATATCATTAAATTAATAGAATATATTTGCTAACAGAGAGTTTAATTATTTCTAAATTATAAAATAAATATATATGAGTTTAATTAATTAAAGGGTCAGATCATCTTTATTGATATAAATTTAAAGAAAAATAAATTATAAACAAGCAAATTAAGTTTTTAGAGATAAAATGTTATTGATTGATTTATTAGAAAATTGTAATGATTCTTATTTATTAAGGTAAAGATATAGGATATTTATATAAAATACATCAATATAAAATAGATATTTAATAAAATAAAGAAAATAAATATATTAAAGAAATGTAAGAAATGTAAGAAATTATAGATTTTAAGAAATTAGAGAAATTGGAGAAATTATAAAATAATAGAAAGTTAAGAATTGTGATTATTAAGATCACTATTCATTAATTATATTTGATATAGTATTAATATATAATAATAAGACTATCACTAATAACTTCTTCCTCTAATATTCAAGCTCTTGTGATAATATTAGCTTCTTATATGAGTTGTTGATGTTGTGATCAGCTTAAGTAAGAGAGTATTTCAACTGATACATATTTAGTCCTTGGTATTTGTTTTATTTTAATCATTTCAAAAAAGTAATATACTTATAATATAGCTCTTTGATAGTATACAGTAAAGAGATTTATACATTAATTCCTTTCTATTGGAGTTGTTATTTTAATTTTAATTATTTCTTCTAAGTACTAGAAAATTATCAAAATTTATACTCAATTTTTTGAACTCCTAACTCTTCTAAGTTATCACATTAAAAAACTTATTTGCTGAGTTATTGTATCATTTTATTAATGAAAAAGTAATATTATCATTAGATTTAAAGATTCTTTTTGATAGAGATCTTTTAAAATTTGTGTATATAAACTCATGATATTTTGTTAGGCAAAAATTTTATCATATTTACTTATATACTTTTTAAAAGACTTCTATTTATAGGTTCTTTTAATAACCTTTCATTTAATTACTGTTAAACTTAAACTGTTTGTCGTTAAGTTAATAAAGATTATTTGCTAGCAGGGAGTTTAAGTATGTCTAAACTATAGAAGAAATAAACACGAATAGTTAAATTAAAGGATCAGATCGTCTTTATTGATATAGATTTAAAGAATAATGAATTGTTTTATGAGCTAAGATAAGTTTTAGAGATAAATGTTATTGTTTTATTAGAGAATTGATAGTGACTCTGCTATTTAGCAGGTCAAAGATACAGAGTATTTATACAAAATAAAATAATAGTAAATAAAATATGATAAATATAATAAATA